AGTCTTTCTCTCCCTGTAGTGTCCACCTCCCATGGTCCAAGAGCACAGGAGCTCTAAGAAGAAAAGTGGGAAGACCCTTTCACCTCCTGGGATTTTGTTTGTCAGTCTTGAGTTTCAATCCAGCATCTGTGTGCTGTGGGAAACAAGACTCTAGGTCCTGAGGAAGGGCAGTGGAAAAAGGGAGAGACAGTAGCAGGCCTTGGAGATGCATACTTTCATCACGTATTGGGGTCATAGAAAGGTCACGCTACACACTGCCTTCAAAGACAAAGGAGAGAAGAGGGACCGTGACCACCTGGGGTAACCACCTCAGCATGCATGTGTCTTAGTGGTGTGGGACGCAAGAGGTACTCCCCACCAAAGGTCTGTCAATCTCCATCCACTTGGAGGAGGTGTGGAGGTGTAGCTCACAGGATGGTTTGCCTGTGGACCAGCTTTTGTGGTTGGAGAGAGGAAAGTCTTCTTGGGAATGGCCCCCTGCTCACCTAGTCGGTTCTCCAGGTCTGCTGTGAGTTTCTGAAGGTCACGCTGTGTGGACTCCTGCATGGTTTGCACATTCTCCACAGCATTCTGCAGAGTTTGAGATGGTTGGGAGATGTTCTGGAGGTTCTTCTCCTGCATGGATTCCAGGACCCTTGTGATTTTCTCCTGCATGGATTCCAGGGCTCTTGTGATCTTTGCCTCCACAGTCCTGCCTGTGAAAAAAGACTAGTGTCACGGGAACAGTGATGGTGTCTCCCTGAGGTGAGGCCCTTTGCCTCTTGTGACATGAGGCCTTTCCTTTTAGAAAGGACTGAAAAGTGCCTGTTCTTCTTTCACTGCCAAGGAGGTCCCAGCCAAACAGCAGAGTGAAGCGTGAGCAGTGCAGTAACTGAGCTGTTTTGTCCAGGAAACGGACATTGTACAGGGCCAGATGGTGTTGGCAGGACAGAAGCCACCCTAGGACTCCTTGGGCAGTCTGGAGTTAGTGGAAGTGGAGCAGGGCTTGCCCATGGTCTGAGGCCCAGCTGCCTCCCTTCAGCTCTCTTTCATGGCCTTCCACACTCCCATACTCCTTCCCTCCCTCCAGTGTCTACCTCCCACAGTGCAAGGGCACAGGAGCTCTTGCAAGAGAAGTGGGAAGACCCTTTCACCTCCTGGGAATTTGTTGGGTAGGCTTGAGTGCTGGAGGGATGGGGCAAAGATCAGAGGTCCTGTGAGCCTTCCTGAAGTCTTGACAAAGTCCTGCTGGGCAGAGCGCAGGGCAGGTATCGCCCTACTTCATCTCTCAATCCAGCATCTGTGTGCTGTGGGAAACAAGACTCTAGGTCCTGAGGAAGGGCAGTGGGGAAAGGGAGAGACAGTAGCAGGCCTTGGAGGTGGACAGTTTCACCATGTATTGGGGTCACAGAAAGGCCACGCTACACACTGCTTTCAAAGACAAGAAAGAGAGGAGGGACCATTGCCACCTGCATTCACCATGTCAGCCTGCACGTGTCTCAGTCGTGCGGGACGCTAGAGCTGCTCCTCACAAAGGAGGAGTCCATCTCCATCCACTTTGAGGAAGTGTGGAGGTGTAGCTCACAGGATGGTTTGCCTCTGGACCAGCTTTTGCCATTGGAGAGAGGAAAGCCTTCTTGGGAATGGCTCTGCTCACCTAGTTGGTTCTCCAGGTCTGCTGCGAGTTTCTGAAGGTCACGCTGTGTGGACTCCTGCATGGTCTGCACACTCTCCACAGCATTCTTCAGAGTTTGAATTGATTGGGAGATGTGCTGGAGGTCCTTCTCCCGCATGGATTCCAGGGCCCTTGTGGTACTTGCCTCCTCTGTCTTTGCTGTGAAGAAAGACCTCTGTCATTGGGAGACTTACTTTTATCTTCTAATGAGAAACCACCTTTGTGCAATGATTTTGCCAAAATCTCTCATTTAAACTGCATTCCAGAGGGTATCTTCTCAGGGTTCTAAACTGGTGGTTTATATTTCTTCCTCTTTCCCCCTCACAAATCCTCACCTTTTGGGAACTTAATGTTGCCCTGAGGTGCAATCTGGCAATGGTTTTCACTTTGCCCTCTGTCTTCACGTAAGCACGGGTCAAGAATCTCACACCAGATTTTCATCACCTCTAATTGGGACTTTCTGTAGTGTCAATAAATATGACCGAGCTTTGATATAACATATATTATGTTGAAAGAAGTCAAAGTACCGTTGTAAGCCCTTATCCACAAGAGCGTGGCACTGCTGTGCAGCTGTTGAACTTGAAGTGAACCCCACTGCCTTCTTGCTAGCCAAAGGCATAGCCATAAAATTTGGAATTTAAATTTCCTAGCATTCCTTGAGGGAAGAACATTCTCATGCAAGCATCCCAACTGGAAAGAGCAGGGTCAGGAAAACAGCTTGCCTTACAACTAAGGAGAGGATCTCATTCAACATAGTCCAGGCTGGTGGTCTGTGCAGGGAAAAGTCCACCACTTCCCATGCGAAGTGAGAGAAGCTCACACTGAGCTTCACCCTGAACATCTGTTTGTAGCTGGACAAGAGGCTGAGATTCAGCATACTTACTCAGGCCTTCAAAGAAATTCTTTTGGCTTTGGACAGTGGACTTGATCTCAGCTTCTGAGTATTACATCCACATGACCAAAAAATAAAAGAGAAAAAGAGGAAGAAACTTCACTAAGACCTTTCCCTAAGGAACTACAAGAATGCATTGAACAGTTCTTGGGGAAGGACGCATCATGCAGTCAGCCCAAGAAAACACAAGGTCCTGTGTAACAAGAGCCTGACAGGAGTATCTGGTGAGGTTTTGATCAATGTATCCTACTGAGGAGCCCCAGTGATGCACTTCTGTGCCATCAAGCTGCCTTAGTGGCACAGAGTTGAAGTGCAGCACCACAGGGTCTTTCGCAGGGAGGCTGCGTGGGCCTCACTCTGCCCCTTCCCCTCCTGCCACAGATACTCTGTCACCAGCACTTACCTCTTCCCAGACTTTCTAGATCTTCTTCCCCTTTGGTCTGCTGTGAGCAGTGTCCCTTGGCTCTCTCATGGGATTTCACCCCTCTTCCTTGCTGGAGTGATAGCTCTCCCATATGGGTGGAGCCTGAAAAAAGAAACCAGAGCACCAAGATAACCTCTTATCCACAAGATCAAGGTCTCATGTCCAGGTGGAGATTTTCAGTGGAAAGGCAAAAACTCCCCTCTCTTCCAGGGAGAGTCATGGCTGTACGAGAGAGCCCAGGGCATGGCCATCACAAGTCTTCCCCGAGGAAAGAGCATGGCCCTGCAATGGGTCACCCAAAAGAACAACTGCAGGAAAAGAGCTTGCCTTACATCCCAGGAGGATGGGATTCAGCAGAGCCCAGGTTGTCCCAGTCTGCCATGGCAAAGCCCACAACAGGGCATAGTCTAGCATACTGTTCCCCTAGGCACCATTCTTCCAGTCACCATGTGCACTGGGACATGTGCATGGGGATGCTGGCTTGGAGAAAACGCTTGCCGGAGGCCTTTGAAAGGGCAGTCTGTGGTCTGGTGAAAGCACCAGATAGGAGAACAGTCCAAATGCCACCAGCTGCCTCTGCCAAGGTTATCAAGACCATGGTCAGACAGGCTCTGCCTAAGTCCAGAAATCTTGCACCCCTGCAACGATCATGCTGGTCCTTCCTTTGGTCTTAGTCACCCTCGTGGCATGGTCAGCTCATGCTCTCACCTGCTTCTGGCAGCATTTCCCTTCTGCCTGTGTAAGACAGCTGAGGAGATGAAAAACTGCTGCCTCCAGGAGAATTCAGGGTGATGAATATTTATTCCTTTGCTGGGCGAAAGGCAGACCCCACATGGTGTCTCACCCTACTAGTCACAAAGTAGTCCCACAAGAGGGTAACAAATCCTTCCTTGCAGTTAAAGGATGAAAAGGAATCCCAGCAGTGATGTGCTAATCCCTCATCAACTTCACCTAAGCCCATCTTAGGAAAGCCTTCCTCTGCCAAGCACAAGCAATACCCTCTGTTAGAGTAGAACATGCCTCTCACCAAAGAGGCTCAGATGGACAGACCTCCACAGGCCTCCTTTGTAGAAGTGCTTGGCATCCCAGAGGATTCCAAGGACGACCAAGGGCAAAATGCATGGGATCCAGCATACTTACTTAGCTGTTCAAATGTATTCACTAGTTCTCGAACACAACGCTGCTTGGTGGTGGGGTCTGGACATTAGGTTCATACGAGAAAAAAAACAAAGAGCAAAACAGGAAATTTAACAAAGAATTTCCCTAAGGAACTACAAGAATGCATTGAACAGCTTTTTGGGAGGAATACCGTCCTTCATATCCTATGTGATCCTCCCCAGGACCCAGGGTTTTCAAATGCCTCACTTTCCTTTCCATCCCTGTCTAAGGCAAAGGAACACAACTCTTACTTGGTTCTCCAGGCATCTCCTTGTTTCTTCTGCTTTCCCGTGTCCTTTTCTCAGGGTTCAGTCTGAAAAGCAAGAAAAAAGGTGGCCAAAGCTGTGTGGTGGGCACAGGACTAGAGCACAGAAGGATGTCCTGATGGATTGCCAGGTGGTAACTATCCCATCTTGGATGCAGTGTAACTAATTTATAGCATATGCCTCTGCAGAGTGCAGAAGAAGGTGCTTAACCAAAGTTACTGTTTTCTGCAGAGGCAGAGAAATGAGGCCATTGTCTATGTGTGTATTCCTTCAGACTCACTCCAAACCTGGAGGTTACCCTGATCAAGTTATTGAGAAAGGATGGTGTTGGGCTGACCTTGGCTGGCTGCTGAATGCTCACCAAGCTGCTCTCTCACTCCCCCTCCTCAACCAGACAGGGAGAGAAAATAAGGCAGAAAAGCTCGTGGGTTGACATAAAGACTGGGAGATTCCTTACTGATCAGTATCATGGGCAAAACAGACTCGACTTGGGGAAGATTACTTTTATTTACTGCTAATTTAAGGTAGAGTAGCACGGTGAAAAACAAAGAAAACACTAAAAACACCTTCCGCCACCCCCCACTTTATCCCAGGCTCAGCTTCAGTCTTTTGTTCCCGACTCTTCTGCTTCCTCGTCCAAGTGGTACAGGAGCCTGGGGAGTGGGGGGGTTGTGATCAGTCCATAACATGTTGTCTCTGGTGCTCCTTTCTCCTTACACTGTTGCCCTGTTCTGACATGGGGTCCCTCCACTACAGTCCTTCAGGAACCCCTCCAGTGTGGGTCTGCGCAGTGTTTTACCCTTTCTTAAACATGTTATCACAGAGGTGCCACCAGCTTCGCTGACAGGATGAGCTTTGGCCAGTGGTGGGTTGAGTTTGGAGCTGGCAGGACTTGTCTGTGCCTGACATGGGGCAGCCCCTAATCTCTTGTCACTGAGGCCACCCCTGCAGAACAACCCCCACCAAAACCTTGCCACAGAATCCACCAAAAACATGTTATATGACAGCCTATACAGTCAAAGCAGAAAGACATCTGCAGGCGGAGATTCAGAGCAGCAAGTTAAGGAGGTGCCCTGAAGCGTGTGCTGAGTCAGCTTTTCCTCCTTTGCCCACACCAGGAGCTTTTCTCCCAAGGCTATGACAAGTGCTTCTGAACGCCATCTCAGAGCTCCGCAGGGATGAGTTTTAATGCTAGAAGGGCTGGCTGCAGAAGACATTGCTTCAGCAGCCCTTCCCACAAAGCATCCTACCACTTTAGACAAGATCCGTCAGAGAAGCAAGGAAGAGCTGAAGTCAGCAGGGAGAAACAGAGACTCATCTATTTGTTACGGAGGAGGAGGTCTGGTCATGGCACATCTCATTACTCTGCTCTGCTCTTCATCTGTCTCTCTCTTTCTTCCACTCATTTTCCCTGTGCTGGTTGCTTGCTGACTCTTTTTGCTTTGCTTGTCAAGGGCCAAGTTTAAAAGAAGCAGAAGGTCTTGGTCAGATGGGTGGTGAGTCAGAGGAACTCCTTTCCAAAGAGTGCTGCATGTTCAGAAAGCTTTCCTTGTCTTCTAGAAGAGCCTAGACCTGAGTTAGTAGGAAAACTCTACTGAGGATTGTAAATAGAGAAACTGCATCAGGGGCCCCATAGAAGTCACAGCCATTGGGCCCATGGCTAAACCATGGGTCTAAGCCAAGCCGTTAGATATAAAAATGCCAGGCATGCTTTCCTGTGATTAAATCAAGCTGTACTTCTTCAAACTACTTTTTCCTATTTTCCCAGAGTCTAAAAGAAGACAAAGAATAGAACAAACCCAAAGCACACATCACTTTGAGGGTTTTTTTCCCCTGAAAAGAAGGACAACAGAGTGATGCATTCTTGAATCGTAACAGTGAGGACATAGAAAAATGCCATAACATACCTTGAGAGCAAACACTTCTCAACGCTGTCTCTCCTGAAATGGAGTGGCTTTCACTGGTAGGGCAATGGTGCCCTTACAGGCAGCCTTCAGTCTCATTGGACTTTACACAGTTCCAGGAAAGAGGGCTCATAAAAATCTGTTGAGACTTTGACACCCGGCCTCACGCTGACTGGCAGTTGAATCCTTAGCAGACTGGGAAAGTCCTGTTCCAAGTACAGTTCACATCTGGGGATGAGATTTAGTGTTGTGTCCCTCTTTAAGGAATGCCTGCAGGTAACCTGAGGCAGAAAAATTGCAGGGCATACATGGTGCACACATGGAGATCTCATGCATATGCCTCTGCTACTGTTAACATATGTGAACGTCTCCTACACAAGGCAGCATAGATCACTAAGTGAAAGTCGTTTGTACTTTCAGGAATGGGTCACCCAACTGTTCACAGTGGGAGAGAAACTATTCTCTTGTAATGAT